GACGTCCAGGCTACCCGGTCGGCAACACGAGGAGGTGGTTCAGCTCGCCGACCGTTGAGTCTCTCATGAAAACCAAATTGATTTGCAAATGAGTTTACTTGTTGATCGATAGGAGTGATCTGATCTTTCTTGCTTCTTTGTGTTTTCGGATGGTGCGCGCTGTTTGTTGGAACCCTAGCTGGTGAGTTTTACTCTCAATATCATCTAAAGTATTTATGTCTTGTTTTAACAGCTCACTCTTCTTCCGGTCCCAGTAATTACCATTCTCAAAACAATCGTTCCAAATTACACGCAGCTGGGTTGGCTGGCTCGTTCTACCCCGCTTCGCTAACCAATGCGCAGTGGAAATGGATAAGAACAAATTGCCTGACTGAACCCAAAATAACTTTAAGTCCAGGTATGTTGGTGATCATGCCTTTTTAGACCTTAGACAGTCATATCAATCAGCTTTTGCACCCACGTCTTTGTCGGGTGTTCCCATTACGCGCGTATCTGTCAACTGACGTCGGTTGAGGAAACATTTTCCACCTAGTACAACCATGTGATCTGTGGTCCTGGACAATGAATGAATTCCAATATTAATAGAATCTAGGCTATATGACAACAGCTAAGCATGTCAAATGTTATTCCCTCTTGACGGATTGTTTCCTCCTGGGCGAATTCCCCATCTCTTTGTTGCCTTTCGGTCACATAGTCCGTAATGATAACTTACTGATGAGCGACACGACCCGGAGGCATGTGGTACACAGACACGCGTGACCGATCGAAGCACCCAGGTCTTCTGCTTTCCATGAACTCTGTGTTTTGTCTGGCTTTGCAAGGTCACCGTCGATGGCAGGAACTACTTTGGAATTCTCAGTCAGCTGAGTTAGAGTTGTGCATGGCGAAACCCTTTCACTAATATGCCAACTGCATGAAGCAACAAGTGAAGCAGATGTCTGATGCCATCTCTTTCCTCAGCTAATGAGATTTGTCGAGTGGGGACCGAATTCTGCAAAGTTATGGGCTCTTGAATCGGTGATATTATCTACATATTTTGGAGATTCTGTGTAAAATATTACCATTCGGCCGTTTCGGTAAGATATGGTGTTGAATTAAAAAAGATCTACGCAAATCTGGTTTTGTTTTGGTCAAAACGTGCTGTTCTGGGCTAAGAAGCTAAAAGCATCCACAAAGGAAAGGAACAGTTGAATGAAAAACCAAGGCCTCAGCCTCTCCTGGGATTAGAGTTTAGAGTATAAGGAAGTATGAAGTAAAGTATAAAGTAAACAATCATAAAGAATCATATGCAAGTCCAAGCATACCAAGGAGGGTACTGCTAATTAGCTCCAGGAAAAGAGGAGTTCCGAATTCGGAACTCCTATGATCTGGTGCAGAATAAATACAACTTTTAGAATGTGTGACCTCACTCCAGGTTTGCGCTTTTCTGGGGCGGCTAAACTTCAGCAGTTTGTCCAGAAAATGTGACAAGTAACCCTTTCACGAGTAATGGACAGGTCTACAGAATCAGAATGCTTCGTCAGAATCAGAATGATTCGTCTCGATGTTTGACCAATGAGATTGACGAATTTAAGGTCATAGCTTAGTTTTGACAATACAGACGTAAGTGGCCCGTCAAGAAGAGACTCGACCATACTATGGTGGGACGGTTTGTGTACATCGACAACCCATTGAGCTATATTGGTGGTGTCCGTGCGGCACTCGCAGTGTCTCCTACGAGGGTGGTCAATGGTTAGAGGTCTGACGAGCAACGCCCCAT